TTTTTGAGGCAGTGTCTCACTCTGTTGCCCAGGCTGCAGTGCAGTGGCGTGATCATGGCTCACTGCAGCCTCCACCTCCTGAGCTCAAGCAGTTCTCTCCATTCAGCCTCCCAAGTAGTTGGGACTAGAGATAATGCACCACCATGCCAGGCTAATTTTTTAAAAATTTTTGTAGCAATAGGGGTCTCAGTATGTTGCCCAGGCTGGTCTCAAACTCCTGACCTCAAGCAATCATCCCGCCTCAGCCTCTCAAAGTGCTGGGATTACAGGCATGAGCCACCGTGCCCAGCCTCTATTTCCTATATCCCATTGACTAATATTTACAGACCAAGAGTTTGAAAGATGACAGTGGATTCTGTTCATTCTCTAAAGCCATTGCAGTTTGGTATTTAATCTTTTATTGTTGTTGTTGGCAGCTTCATGGCATGTCATTTTTACCGAGGACTGCAAGAATAGGATAATTCAGACATAGAATAAGTTGGGAGTCTGTTTGCTCAGCTGGGGTCCAAGTAATAGTCAGTCTCTCATTTTTCAACTCAGTGAAGTCGTTTGAAAATAAAACTCCAAAGAGGAGTTAAGTTAAGGGTGCAGAGCTGCTGTGCGGCTCCCTTTGTGGCTCATCTCTGCGTGACTGAGAGGAAGCGCCATGCCCCAATGGCAAACATGAGTGGGTGAGGCGAATGGAGCAGGTGTGGAGGATCCCTGTGTGGTTCTAGGACCTCTGCCAACAGAGGAATCTTATCAAGAAGTGGGACTGGCCCTAGCTGTGCTTTATTTATGAGCTTGCACGCTTGAGAAGGAAAACAGCTGTTTTGGCCATTCTTGTCAAAGGCCATATTTAAGTTCTGATTTCACACACATCACAGAGTGTTTACTTAAACCGTCTTTTTCTTTTTTAACTTTAAAATGAATTATAGGCCAAGCATGATGGCTCACACCTGTAATTCCAGGACTTTGGGAGGCCGAGGTGGGTGGATTGCTTGATTCTAGGAGTTCAAGACCAGCCTGGGCAACGTGTCAAAACTCTGTCTCTACAAAAAATACAAAAAATTAGCTGGGCATGATGGCATGGCACTGTGGTCCCAGCTGCTCAAGAGGCTGAGGTGGGAGGATCACTTGAACCCAG